TTTTTTCTTCTAGAATAACAAAGTACGTACAAAAACTTTTCGTTCATCAAAACTACTTCATTTAACGAAGAAAACTGTTTTGGAAAACAATAACTGGAAACTCTATTTTTGAACGAAGTAAGCTTTAGTAAATATCTGCAGTAAACTTCAAAGATAATAAAATTTTTTCATATAAAGTTTACGAAGAAAAAATAAGTTCTAAAAATCGTTCTATTCTAGAAGAGAAGCCATTTTATGAAAACTTGCTGAACTTTCCTGAAAATCGATAAGGATCGATACAATCAATGTTACAGGTAAATTCTTATAAAAAAAGCATTTCCGTTAATATTTTTTTTTAGTTAATAATTATTTTTTTTTATGGATGAGGACGTAAAAAGATTCATCTAACGTTGAACCGACACTCACTGGAATATCGTGTAGTTACGGACCAAAACAACGCTCTTCTTCATCTGGAACCGCTTTCGCATTATATCGGTAATTTGTTGATAATGCCGATGAATAATTTTTCACTCTCTATTACGGTTTAACATTATATAGATTTTACTGTCAATTTAGGTTAGCTATGGTTCATGTTGTCTCTTACGCGGTTGTTGTTTCTCACACATGTTGATTAAATTCTTTGATCTTCATGAATGCTTAGAATTGGAATTGTAGTGGGTGTCTGTCTTCAAAAAACCTTATAGAACTTTATCTCTTTTTTTATTTGATGGTAGTTATATTTACGTCCATATATATGTATGTGTACGTTTCGGATGAACCGTGGTACATCCATAATATTTTTAAACTTTCTTTTAGAAAGTTTTAGAATTTGTTTGTTGATTTTGTAGCTTTACATAATAACATAGGTTCGTATAGACGGTTTGATCTGATTATTTTAGATTTGGTTTGAATATTAATACGTCGTTTTTTGGAGGTAATTATTTGTATCACCTGTTGGCTAATGCTGGTTTAAAGAAATTTCACTTTTTAATGTGTAATTCTGGTTAATCTATTATACAGAGTTATATCCAAATATTTGTATATAATTTTAGATTTTTAAAAAATATAGTCTTGGTTTTGTTAGAATTGAACTTAACTTTTAAAGGAGAATCTGTTATAGAAAAGGATAATTTCCATATTCGTACATGATGTATATAAAATTTATGTCGATCTTTCCAGATTTAAGTACTGCTTTGCAGTTAGAAATATCATCCTAAAGTTTTTGAAATTTTGTTGTATGTTACATATTAACCTTACATATTGACCTTTGATATAAATTGAATTTAAAATGGCAGTACTTTATTGTTGTCATTAAAGACGCTTTGTATTTTGTTTAAATTATATATATAGACTAAAAAACTAAAAAATGTTGTTCCCAATTAGTAAAAGTAATTGTTTAAAATAGATTTCTCTTTCAGAAATTTGAGTAGTTTCGTGCATTCTACTTCTCTGGAAAATTTGCAGACTTCATTTAGTACTTTCCACGTGTAAGAGTTGCCACACAATATTAAATACTTTCATATTTAAAATTATTTATATATAATTTTTTTTTGTTAATATTTTATTATTCAAGAAATAAAATCAATTGCTCTGCATACTCAAAAATTTTAAAATGAATTGCGAAGAAAATGATGGAAGTGATGGCTTGTCAGAAACACATTCTGGTGATATCAATACCTGTTTGAATTATAAATCTATATCAAATGTTTCTATATATCACAACTGTTTAAATGTTACTCCCAGTGATAAGAGAATCCATTTTGGATCTCCACTGGGTTGTGATAATGCAGCTGATATTACTATATTTCATAGCTGCAATACATCAAATAATAGTGTCGAAAACAGCATCGATGGCGATAGTTCTTCTAAATTGATTCCGAACTCAAGTCAGCTTAATGCAATTGCTGGAAGTAATAATTGTGATAAATGTATTGCTTCGAATACCAATGGAACCGCAAATACGGACAGTATTCAAAACGGTGATGATAAAAAGTCTAAAGTTCTTCTTAGTTCTTTTGGTGTGAGTAATGGAGCTGGTGTAAAAAGTATAAAGAAAGAAGATGTTTCATCCAATTTGGCAACTATTGAACTTAAAATTAAGAACCCGAAAAAAAATATCGCATTAAATAGTGCAATTGCATCAAAAAGTTCTAATGCATCAAGAAGTATATTTGCATCAAAAAGTAATTTGCTTTTTGTTAAAAGCAAACTTAACCTACAAATTACTCAAGCAAAGCGTATACATTTCCTCCGTTACGGTAACAAGTTTCATACCGGTATTACACTACCAGTTTCTAAGGTAAAATACAAAGCTTTTGAAAGTCTCTTAGAAGACGTTACCCGCCTACTTTGCTGCACTCTTAAATTACCTGGGCCGATACGAGCAATTTATACCAAAAATGGTGAAAATATTATTTCTATTGAGGAATTCGATCCAACTCAATCTTACATATGTTGCTGTAAAAATGAAACTACAAAAAAAGAAACAATAAATGACGGTCCACAAAACAAAGCACCAGGAAGAATTTCACTCTGTCAAACTCAACGACCCACTCGTTATCTTCGGCTTGACATAAAGCGTGAAGGTTGTGTGCGTCCACGTGTTATTATCTTAATCAAATATGGTCCGAAACCAAGGAAGATATTTCAGCTTCTTTTAAATAAGGATAATAATCAGTCATTTGGAAAAATCAAGCAAACAATTACTGTCGCCTTAAAAATGAACTCAGGTTCCATACAAAAAATATTTACGCTTTGGGGATTTGCCATCCGGAAGTTGGAAGAGTTCTTTGGAGATGAAGATATATTTTTAGTTCACAGTAATGAATATGTTTACTATCCAGATAATTTTGAACTAGACGGCGCTGAAATTCAAAAATTAGAAGAAATTTGTCAGAAGTCACAAAATATTGGCAAGTTATATCAAGTTTTAGAAGCGGAAACTTCACAAACAGTTGAGAAAGAATTCGATATACCCGAAATACTACATGATAGGTACAAAATTGAGGATAAAATAGGTGAAGGACATTTTGCTGTAGTTATGAAAATTATTAGTCGGCGTACAAAAAAAACTTTCGCACTTAAAATTGTTGATAAATACAAGTACGATGACGTGGAAGAGGTTATGGATTCGGAAATTAACGTGTTGCGTACATTAAATCATCCTCACGTTATATCACTTTTGACAGTCATAAACCGTCCCAAAAAATTTTACTTAGTCACCGATTATATGGCTGGAGGCGATGTTCACGATGTACTAAGTAAGTCTAAACAATTTTCTGAACCGCAATGTCGTTTGATAGTGAAGCAATTGGTTTTAGCATTAAATTATCTGCAAACATTGCATATTGTTCATCGGGATGTAAAAGTTGAAAATCTGTTAGCTTTGTGCGATGAGTCCGGATATATAAAAAATGTAAAATTGGCAGATTTCGGTTTAGCAGTTCAAACTAAGAAACAATTATTTGTTTTGTGTGGAACGCCATTATATATGGCACCTGAAATGCTATCAATGGATGGTTATGGTAAAGAGATCGATGTCTGGGCGACGGGTGTAGTGCTGTACTATATGGTTTTTAAGGCAGCACCATTTGATGATGATGATGAGCAGTTATTGCATGAGAAAATATCTGTTGGGGAATTCTGCTATCCTGAAACCGAGGTAAGTGCAGATTGCAAGAATTTGATAGAAAACTTACTTCAAATTGATCCTCGTACACGTTTTACTTGTGACAAAATTTTGAATCATAACTGGATGAAAGGGAAAACTTTTGAACATTAAAATGTTTGTTTACTTTTTTATGTTATTGATGATTTTCAGCTTTAATTAAAATAAAATTGCCTCTATGGGCAAAAAAAAAAATAATACAAATATCTTTGATGGATTCAAAAAAATAGTAAGAATAATCTAATATTTTATATTTTAATGATTAAGTATGCAGTCTCATAAGTGACTTACTGTGTCATACATATGTAATGATAAACCCACGATTGACTCACAGAATTTAGAATTACTTATTAAGTGTTTAAAATCTCAAAGAAAAGAGATATTTGTCAGCTTCCTAAATATATATCTCTCATTTACTCATTTAAACTATAATACACCATTTCATATTATAAAGAGTATCATTACATTCTGTACTAAAGTAGAATATATGAAACATGTTTAATAATTTGCAACTTGACTAAAAATTTATTTATTACAAATTTATTATATTAGACGATATCATAATACTCAACGGTATGTTGTAATAATGATACGATATCATATAACGTACGATATCGTTAATTTAAACGCAAAAAAAAAAAATGGTGGTACCTCATCTATCACAGAACACATGAAAGTATTTTTACTATAATTTTAACTCGAAATTTTGAACTATCCATGCATATTACAAAGGTTTTAAGCCTTCGATACGGTACGCGTTTTATTTTATTATGATATGATATAGTACGTAAAAAAATTTCTGAACTTAGATGAAATAATATTTTATTTCTTTCTATAATACGGACCGCACACAATAGCATTGTATGAGGCATATAAAATTGTGTAATATATTCTGATACAGGACTATTTACTACCCCTGTAAATATCGTGTTGTTATAAATAAATAAGATATCTAAAATGGCTGGTTTATACTTGATGTGAGAAAAATTATCCAGTTCTAATCGATTATGATTTGGTTAATAAAACCTAATCGGAGTATACTGAAGTATGTGTACTTAGAAAGACAGTGTAGAAATCTAGGAAGAACTAGTTGATATGTAATAGCAGATTCCATAAATGGGTCCTAGAAAGAACTGATTTGAAGTTAAAGTATATCTAATCTTAGTAAGTTAAAGGAGAGATATTAGTTAGGTTTTTTAACTGAAGCTGACTGTCAGCATGTCAGGTGGCTTATAAAAATGATCTGATCATTTTTAAATATAAGAAGTTAAAGTAAAGACTTTTAACATTTTTGTTAAGGAAATGTATATTAGCAGAAAATATTTTTGAAATAAACTTTTAATAGTTTTTGAAAGTTAATGTAAAGAATTTTTATTTGTTAGAAAAATAGGTTGAATGTTATATACCAGCAAAAAAAAATTTTGTATTCAACGTACGATATATCAACCTTTACCACCAAGATTTTTTCCCATATATATTATTATTGTTAATCGAAGGACTGGATCTGTCCTCCAATTTTTAATAATGGAAATAACTATTAAGTTTAGGCTACATAAGAGAGTAATCGTCTGAAAGTGCCTTACTATCATAAAAATATTCCATTTATTTTTATTGATATATTGACAACTTGACTCGAGAAAGAAGAACAAAGTAATTTTGAAGAAGAATGTCAAGAATTATAGGAAATTTGGGCAATAATCTATTCATCTTGCAACAACAATAAAAGGACTTGATAAAAAAGAATTTATAGAAACAAACGAGACTCCTCTTTTTCTTAGCTGGTTTGTTTGACAAAATTAGGACTATATAATAAAACAGGGTCTACAAATTATTTTGTTCGCAGATGTCAAGATCTCTTCACTGATATTACATTTAATTTACATCTTTTGTACTGAACACAACTACAGTTAGAGATGAAGCTATATTTCTGTTTCATTCACTCTAAAATTAATATAAAATGTCGGGAATTCGGGGATTCTTTAAGCAGTCAATTAAATAAGTTTTATAAAGTTGCTTACCATAGATTCTATAAGTATTTTTTATTTTAAATTGTTTATTATCTCTAACTCTAATTGACATATAAAGAGCTTGTTAGTAACCTAAAAGTAGCTAGCTATGATTTATGAGGGGATCTGTTTTAAGCTTAAAAATCATTGCTATGGGTTGAAATAACAAAAAAAAGTAAATAGATAACTTGTTTCAAAAGAGAGATAAATTAGTTAATGTAGTGATTTAGTATTTTTTTTTAAATAAAATATATTTATATAACCAGGACAAGGACAGCATATGAGTATTACGTAAAACGTATCTCTTTGGAGTTTTGGTTGGTTTCGTTGGCATTAGCAATCTTATTGGAATTTCCATATTTATGCGGTTTTTGTTCGTAGAAAGGAGATTCACAATTTACCTGTTATATCTTAACACCATTTGTGTGCAAAATATAGATAATTAAGATAAAAGATTTATTGAAGACGCCATAACACAGCATTATAAGTGCTAAATACTACCTTTGATATAAATAACATACATATATATGTACGAGTGTATAAATATACATATATGTAAGTAAATACACATATTTCCTGAATATATATAGATATAGATCAGTCATTCGCTTACCTTTAATTTCTTGCTATTAAGATATTTCATTTAATATGGAGAAGATTAATTATGGAATTAACAAAAGGAAATTCCATAGTTTTTGAAATTTGGATATAAAAAGATGACTTAGTAATGCACTTGACATTTTATTGAGAATAATTAGAATTTATTTAGATTTATTTTATTTAAGTAGTATAAACTAAATTTGTTACGTTCTACATTTATATTAAACTAACGTCTTTGGCTTAGATAAGATAAATGTTTGGCGAAAGCAAATTTATAAATAAATTTGCATTGAGTACTTCAACTACAGTGTTAATTTCGTCAGATACTAGTTAGTACCCATTTGTCGAAATAAAATTTCGGAATCATCATGTTTTTTAAATTTCTTACTATTTCATTAGTGAGTTTGCAATATAAATCTATTATATTTTATATATAAATATCGCTTTAAAGGCAATTTTATGGATCATCTTTATACTGAGACCGGTCGATGTGAACGGACAATGCAATGCTTGTGCTGCAGACACGGGCGTGGCCTGCGTTTCAGAAATAAGTTTCAAAATCTGTGTTGGTGGTTATCCTAATGGTGATGCATTGACATGCCCTACTGGCTACGTTTGCTCTACGGCAAATTCCTCGATTTGCTTGCCAAAAGTACAGAATATCACACCGACTTGCAGCGATTGCAATAAATGTGACGCCACCTCAACTTTTGCTTGCACGGGTCTAACAACTTTTGCGCTATGTCTGGGTACGGGTACAATATCAGACATTGTAGGCAATTGTGCTCCATCACACATTTGCAGTATTGACTATCCACAGATTTGCGGTAATGCTACAACAGGTGTAAGTTACTTTTAACTATGATATATATGGTAATTGGAATTCAGGATTTCTGTCTCATGTTTTAATTGCTATTACAGATAAGTGCTACATGTCCTTCTGTAATCGACGGCACAACTCCAGGAACAACAAGTAGCACTCCTACAACAGGTAGCACTGCTTCAACCGTAACACCGTTTTATAATGCCACCTACTTTTGCAGCAATTTGCAGCAAAAAGGTCGCTTTCCGGTTGGTACAGATCTAAGCACTACTTGCAGACAGTAAGTTAATCTATTCGAAAAAAAACGAATTTATTCCAACTTTGAACATTTACATTTAATTTAAGATATGTTTATTGCTTCCTCAATGGTGGTGCTTGGCATGGTCAGATTTATAATTGCCCTGGTAGTACATATTTCAATAGCACCTCACAGAACTGTGGGGTAGCTATACCACCTCGCTGTTTGGGTACTGTTCGAAGTTTAAGTCTTTTTGAGATTGATTTAGATTCATATTTTTAATATGTCAGTTAATCAGTTAATTGGTTAATCAAACTAATAATACATGGTAAAGTGAGTTATTTTTATATAAGTGATGATTAAAATTTTATTAAGATGTTCAAACATTAAGTGTATAAGTCATATGGATAAAGTAATAAAGCTATAATATGTCATAAAAAATGCTTTCTTTTCTCGGTTAAAATGAGTAAAACCATGAATA